GTAGGGAAAATACAGCGAAGGGTTTAATTGCTATTTAACGTCAAAAAAGTTGAAAGAGTTCGGGCAAAGGGATTCGGAAAAATTTACATAGACTTGCTCTTAATTAGAAAGTAAGATTCGGTTATAAAAGTAACAGGATCTCGCTTTCTAATTAATCTCAGAAAGATCCGATTTAACAACGATACTATTTTATTTTTATTTATTTCGCAACTAAATTATATTGAAAAGCATAAAAATATCTAAAAAGATTTCAATAAAATATATGTGAACGGAGAATTCAGATTAATTATCTATTAGAGATTGATTTAATTCTTATGTTTTCATCAAAGGGATAAAATATCGTTTTTATTTTCACACTGTTGTTTCATTTTGCACTCGTGAATTTTATAAGTCAAATCTCGACGGCAGTTTGCGACGATATCGCAAAAATCTCGTTATTTTTACGGTTAATTAGACACGATTTTATAGCAACGCAGAAGCGATGTTCGGTCTCGGCAAAGGAGACTTGATTTTTCCGACTCGTTAAGCGATTCCCGGTACGAAGGACCTGCCTAAAAGGATGGTACGCTAAGGGCGAGTGGCTCTCGGGAAGTGGAGGCTGGGAGTCAGTCCCTTTAGTCCAACTCGATTCCTTTTTGCTCGATCGAACGAGCGAGTCACGAATTATGCTGATCGTTATTGTCGCTTTCGTTTGTCAAAATACCATAAATTTCTTGGTAATGTAGGATTTACAGTTTACAGACTGTTTTTTAATTCGCGAGTTTAACTTTGGCAGATTATCATATTAATATTGATAATAATATTATATAATAATAATGATTTAAAATGCTGTTAAAAAGATAGATAGGTACTGTAGTAAATACATTATTCGTACGATAGCTCTTTATTATATGCATTATTTTATATTTTGCGTAAAATCAATCCGCTTTTACGACACGTTATCGAAGTTACAGTGTGTTGCAAATCGCAACTTAGGGATATACATGTACGTAGAGGAATATCTCATCCCTTATCTCAATATGCTAATCTGTTCTGACAGTCACGCAACAATCAAATTTAGGGTCTGGTTGTCTTTAGAGATTATAGCCATGGACTAAACTTCGCAGGTTTTTGTAAGAACATGATGACAGTTCTCAAGTTCTTACAGTTTTGTTTTATATTGTATATTAAAAGGAAAAAAAAGAGAGAGAGATTTACTTGTTCTATATATTGTACTATAAAGTACAAATCGTAAAAAGTATGTGCATGGGATAACCTAACATATTTTTAGTGTTATTATTGAAAGAGACGGACAATTTTTACATGCATTCTTATCTGATTGTATCAAAAAAAAAAATTAATCGTCAATAGATGTAATTGTATTTTTTGCACGCCTCACAAATCACACTGTTCATTGTTGCAAACGATATACGATATTTATATCCCGGGGCGCAAATACTTATTGGCAACGAATCGCGTTCTCGATAATCGATAACAACCGCAAGCGTTAAATTACCCGGTGCAGCTTTCCAACTCTCGCTAACTTGAAGCGAACTAGCTATCCGATCCGCTTTCGGAATGAAGAAAATCACGGAATTAATCACGACAATTACCTGTACTGTCTCGGCAGCCAAGGGAGGATCAGGTTCACGACCTCATTTGCGTTTCCTTAACAAGCCTTGTTAAATTTGTGATATCGCAACTTGAACAAGATGACAGAAATAAAATCAAAGTAGTTTCAAACATCGCGAATATTTGCGTACCATTTCAACTCTTTTATATCGCATAAATTTGTATTTCTAAAGATGTTAACGATTTAGTTGCCTTGTGATCAAAAAATCAAAAAATTATGTATTGTTCTTCTTTCACTTGTAATTAATTAAAATTTGAAATAATTTTTATATTTTTAGAACATTTATTTAAAATAATATTTCACGAATTCATTTCATGATTCATGTAACTCGTGAAAAACTTTCGAGAACAAAATGAACCAGATTTACTTAGCAGATTTATTTAGCGGAACATTCGAAGATTAAGGATCTAATGGAGAGCTTAAAAATTGATTAGATTTTGATAATAAAGTGAGTTTTTTATTATCTGAAGAAAAAACGATGTAATAAGAAAGTTAATTGCGGATCCGTTATAACATTAACCTTTCGGCTATCCTGATGTCTTATTAGAGAGCCAGTTTTGATCCAAAAGCCCCGCAGGCGAACCGATACCGATTAGTCACCGCGGCATTATCCTGTCACATCGAGCGAGTCCGCGTCATTCCCTGGCGAAGCGTGCTTTTTGACACGGCAGTCCCAAGTTTTTAATTAATCGGTCGAGTGCTATGCCTCCCTCGATTTTGCTCTCTGCCACCTCTCCCCTCTGCGTAGACCCTTTTCAGGAAACGAAACGCACCCTAACGATCGATCTCTAGGACGAGGGAAACGGATCGGAAATTTCGCTCCGTTATCGCGTGCTTCGTTTGCCTCATTCATATCTCCTCAATGTTCGTGAGAGTTTCATTCGTTTTGCATCATCATGCGGCAACGAGAATGACGTAACTGCATGTAGTTTTTTAACGATAATCGTGATCGTATAAGTTAAGTTAGGTTAAGTATATTTAACATTTAATTTTTGATTGAAGACGTTACTATCGTCTGTTCTTTTTTTAGATGGCGATAAAAATTCCATATAAAACCATTTCGAATTTTCGGTGTGTTTTATTTAAATTTCTTCATAGTGTGCTTTTTTCTAACCGCGAATGCAATTTTGATTCATATCGAGATGATTGAAGCTCTATTTCTTATCTAGGAACGAATGTCTACAACAAAGTCGCATATCTCATACTTCGGGAGGGTTGAATCGCGCGTGCTTTGCTTATCGTCGTCGGAGTTAAATCAAAAGTATCGAATGAGTAGAAGTTCGTAAATAAGAAAACAACCCGCACTTATCTTCTTCCGTTAGCGCGCATTTTTCTTCACAGCAAGATAGATGCGTCGATACGTTACGTACTTTTAGCTGACGATTTACATTCGTGAGTTTCCGCGATAATACTTTTATCTAGGCGGGACGGATTAAAGAGGAAGGTGATAAAAGAGGGCGCCAATTATTCTTCGAACGAAGAGCGAGATCGGCCAACGCGCTCTCTTTGTTTCGTCCGCCAGGAAATGACGCCTCGATTCTCGCCAAAGCGATAAATTTCCAGCGGAAATAACTTTTGGCAGGGTAGATGGCGGCGAGGGAATACACGATAAAAAGGAGGACAGGAGGGAGGGAAAGCGAAAGGGT